TTGCCCTTGCAATGGCACCACAATTCAAAATATCCCCAGAATTCAAAGTATCACAACACTGGCTGGATAGCTTCCTTCAGTGATATGAAATGTCTCTCAGAAAATCAACAACACTGTTTAAGTTGAAAGATGCTGAAATTAAGCAAGCACTTGCATTCAAGTCCTTTGTTGATGGCATCGACTTTTATAAATACCAACTTTGCAACGTGATTGCTATGGATGAAACTGTAGTATTTATGAGTCAAGGAGCCCAAATGACAATTGAACAGAGGGGTGCTTCCTCAATCTATGTTCCCTCCACTGGTCATGAAAGTTCACATGTCACCTGTATTTTGGCAATTCGTCTGGATGGAAAGAAAGCCACACCTCTTATCATCAGTAAGGGCAAGAAAGATAAGATTGAACATGTTTTTGGCATTTATGTTCTTGAAACTGAAAAAGCCTGGTGCACACAAGCAGTTATAAGGAAGTGGCTTGATTTAATGCCGCCACTTGTTTTGCGAGGTAGCCAAAGAGGTCTGCTAGTCTGGGATTCAGCCAGCATTCACCGTGCTAAAGACATGAAGAACTTCCTTTCAGAGAGAAGAATAGATCAAATAATGATTCCTGCAGGAATGACTGCCTATCTGCAGACTCTTGATATTGCAATGAACAAGCAATTCAAAGACCATTTGCATATGGAAATGAATGACTACACTGAAAATAGAATGACAAGAAATCAGCGTGGAAACTTTGTGAAACCTAGCTTGTAAGAGATTGTCATTTGGGTGAAGAATTCATGGGATAAAATCACTGACAATGTTGTTGTCAATGCACTCTGAGCAGGTTACGTATATAAGAGCTGCTTATTTAATGAGAGCTCTATTGCTCAGCATGAAAGATTTGAGCCAATGGTTCTAAAGGAAATGGAGTTGCAAGAAATTCAGGTTGGAATTCTGGGTTTGGAGAGTTATGATGATGTTCTAGAAGAAGAAGACTTAACTGTATTTGTTGTACCATACTTAATAAAAATAAGACATCCCCTGAAAATAAGCCATACTGTGTCTTCTTGAGGAAAAATAAATATATGATAGTGTCTTATTTTCAGGGAAACATGGTATCTCATTCTCTCTCATTCCCACATTTAATTCCATTTTGGGAGAAAGGTAGTATATAAATCCAATAAATAAATAAAGGTAGGGCTCATCCCGATATTTGAATTTAATTTATTTTTTTTTTTTAGAAAAATGCACACACAGATTTCCCATTATTTGGTGGGTATGAAGCTACTTCCAAATAACTTAATTGCAAAACTCAGCCCTAGCAACATTCTCCTGAAAAAGATTCCAAGACTGGAGAGATCGATTGCTAAAATTGCCCCAAAAAGGGACCATATCCCTATTAAATTTTCAGTTTCCCTCCTTTTAAAATTTTTTTTCACTCAGAATGCTGTCATCTTCAATGCAGCATGGGGAACAATTTCATTACAGCTTTTTTGTTGTTGCCTTTTCCAGCTGTTACTGGACCAAAACATTTTCATATCACATAATTATAGCACTATGATTCCACTCTATCTGTCATGGTTGCATCCTATGTGATCCTGAATTTTGCAGTTTGGTGTGACACTAGAGGTCTCGGGCTGAGATTTCCAGATGTCCATTCCTAACTTTCAAATCCCAGGATTTTATAGGATGGAATAACAAGAAGTGGAATCATAGTGCTATATTTGCATAGTGTGAAAGGGCACCACGAAAGGCCTTTCCTAAATAGGAAATAAACAGGAGCTACTCAGTGGCAGCCCCCAAGGTGGGGTGAAGTTGCCACATATGGTGGGCATCTGTGCATAAAAAGCTTTTGTCAAAAACATGTTTTGGGGTGTTGGGGTCCTGACAAACAACCTTGAGAGATGCCTGTGGTCCACAGGTTACACTTTACCCACTCTTACTGTAGGAGGAGGAGATGGCATAATTTTGGATTGAACCACTTTCTCTGGTAGATATGAGGGTACTCTATGTGTGTGTGTGTGAGAGAGAGAGAGAGAGAGAGAAGAGTCATGTTAACACAAATGTTTCTATGAGGTAGTCCGCACTGGCCAATTAAATCAGCTTCTAACTACTTTGAAGGCAGGGTGTTCAGATGATGCACATGATGAAAGTGGGTGGGAAGCAAAATAATCTAAAAACTGGAGCAAAAAGAAGTTGGCATACTCTGACTCAAGGTGGAAAATGCACATCATTGCACCAGCATATAAACAGCCCAGTGCCAATACAGGACTGTGGCAAAGCAAAAAATGTAATAGTCAATAATGCCATGGATGTAATTACAACATACACAAACCAGACCATCCAACAAGGGGGCATGGGGTGAAGGTGAGGAAAGTAGGCATCTATGTTGTGTATTACAACATACACAAACTAGACCATTCAATGGGAGGCATGGGGGTCAAGGGAGGTGTCA